GCCACTTTCAATTTGTTCTCGTCAATGGTCACACTTCTAAGAGGAGCGTGTGTCCCTATCAGCATGTTAATTGCTTTTGGCCCTGATGCTGAGCCCAATGCTGTCTGCAGACGGACTATGTTGGTCACTAGGGGTTGGAGATCTCTGGTGTTTTCCGCTATGTCGCAGTGTCGTCTGCAAAGTCAAGGTCGGCAAACTTTGTCTCTGGAACCCACTTTACCCCCCTTTTCTCCTGTTGCTTCCCAAGTACCCAGTCGATAGCCACGGGAAAGAGGATCTGTGACAGGACACAACCTTGGAGGATCCGTCTTCAAATCACCCGCTGTATCTAGATTCCTTCAACCATCCGTACACAACACTTCGAGTTTCAGTATATCTGTTTAACTGTATACATAAGTTTACTTGGCAGTCCATAACTGTACATGATAAAGAGGGACTTTAGATGCTATCAAACGCCTTGCAGAAATCAATTAATCTGATAGCTAAAGGGGTTTGCAGTTCAGCACATTTCCTCCACCGAAGGGTGAAGATCTGCTCAGCACAGGATCTCTTTGAGCGAAAGCTAGCTTGTTGCTCGCAGCTCCCAGAGGACCTTGCCTACTGCATCTCTCATGCGCTTCAGGAGGCATTTGGCATACACCTTCACTGGTATAAAAAAGAATTGTCACTCCCCTTAAGTTATCACATTCATTCAGGTTTCCCTTCTTTGGAATGCACACTTTAAGCCTATGTCACAATTCAAGAAAGGGGCCTGCTCGGCGCGTTTTCGGCCTGTGTTTTGGCACTACCGAATTTGGAACGGGACCTGGAAGGCAATAGGCGGGGTTCTCGACGGCTGCCGGCCTATTTTTTGGCCCCGCGACGTCGCCAAATTGATTTGACTCAAACTTAAAATCACTTCAGGCCCCGGCGGGCAAGGTATGCCGAAGCGACCCCGTAACCTCACCGGACCAAACCGTAACCTAGCCGCCGGGTCACGCACAGACACCTGTCCAAGATTACGTCACGTGTGTTGTTCTGTGCTAGAATTGTTCAGAAGAAGGTAGTTATAGACAATATAGAGGGTACTGTGCTGTTCTTGACATAGCTACATCATCAGTCAGTCATAGTGACCATACACGGGTCTGCACATCAACCAGCAGGGCCGAACCCACCATACCAGCCACAGGCGTACCAGCCTGGGACCTGCCAGGATCGCCCCTTGACCCCGCCAGGGACCCTGTAGCTGCCCGGCCGGAATGCAAGAGCTAGTCGGCACCCTGTCACATCACGCACAGGTCTGACAGAAGACTGACTGGGCACCGGACGGGTCCCTAACAGAAACCGGTCGTCAAGGGGACCAAAATTTTGTGAATTTTACATAGAAGCCGCCTCAGCGCCCCGACAGGGAGCCGTAAAGGAAAATTCAATTGTGACCCTGACAGCCGGCGTACGCTCGGCTTCATGACGCCGGCCGGCGTCTACACCGAGAACATGCCAAGCAGGTCCCGTTTCAAATGTGACTCCAGCTTAACTACTGATCCGTTCTTCCAGTCCTCCAGCACTTCCCTGTGATCGCCGTTGAATGCCTGCTTTATTCCAAGGAAGGCGTACCAAGGAATATGGTTATGGTTCTATTAAAGCGTTTGCGATGTACGGCGATCAGAAAAGCGTCCATCTCACAACACAGTCACCCTCGGCTTTAAGCATCTCTGAAGTGATGCCATTCATGCCTGGTGACTGACTTCAGCTTCAGAGATGTCTTGGATCTCAACAGGTAATGGGTGTAGGTGTTCATCAAAGACTAATGCTACTGAGGTAGGGCTTGAGCGGTTTAAGACTTTTTGAAAAGTATTCTGCCCACCTGGCAAGCTTGTGCTCCCCTAAGACAGTGGTAGGGTCCCATCCTTCGCCTTAATTAGGACTGTGCACTTTTGAGCGGCCGCCGGTCATCTTTTTGGAGATCTGTTAAGCTTTGGTCCCAATTGTAAAAAAAAGTCCCTGGCGGGTAGTTCCCGGGCTGTTTTTGACACTTTCAGGCGTGGGACACCCCGCGGCTACCGGGCTATTTTTTTTGGCCTGTCCGGGAATCAAGAAGAATTCAACTCTTTAAATTCTACACGGGCCACGCTGACATAAAATTCAGGACGTCAAGTTAGCGCTTTATTCTGCCTGTACACAGACGCTGGTAAGGCACAGGTGTGGCCTTATGAAGGGTCTAATATTTTTTTTTAACAGATTGTATCATTTATTAACATTCCTATCAGTGTTCAGAGGTACAGGCGCCCATGCTATATACTGGTCAGTTTTTGCATAATTTGCATTAAATGTTGGTGTGATTAATACTGGGATGGTTTATTCTGATTATCTAGCCTTCAAAACATGTGTATAGTACAAATGTATGTGTATTGTATCAAAATTATTGTTGATACCATGAGATTTATTGAGATATTGACGAAAAACAGATTTTCAGTAATGGCGGCCTAAATTTGCAAATTAAGCACAAAAATATGTATTTGATCTCCACTGAAATGGCCTTATGCTCAATAGTTATTCCAAAAAACATGGGGAAAGACACCAAAGATATTATAATACCATATGTAGTTACTGAGATATTGACGGAAAACAGATTTTCAGTAATGGCCACCTTGATTTGCCTATTGTGCGGCTTTAATTTGCATATTTCAGCACAAAAAAACTGGTTTGATCTTTACTGAAATGGCTTAATTCCATTCGTTATCCCTCAAAACATGGGGATAGACACCAACATTATTCTGAGACCATGAGTAGTTACTGAGATATTGACGAAAAACAGATTTCAGTAATGGCCGCCCTAATTTGCATATTGCGCGGCCCAAATTTGCATATTTAGCAAAAAATAGTGGTTCTAACTTTACTGAAATGGCTAGATTTAATTCGTTATCCCTCAAAAGATGGGGATAGACACCAAAATTATTCTGATACCATGAGTAGTTACTGAGATATTGACGAAAACTGGATTTTCAGTAATGGTCACCTTAATTTGCATATTGTGCGAATTGCCCAAGGATGACAGAGTGGCATCATTCAGATTCTGAAAGAGCACACCTCAGAGATATAGAAACAACAAAAAAACTTTGTATGGACCGCATTGCACGCTTATCGGTCTCTGCCACCAGACTATTATTGCTTCTCTTCACCCCCAGTGCCTGCCCCTGTGGTGGTTGAACAGAAAGACCGCGACTTTCTGGCAACACAAGATGCGATCAAAAATGCCACAGCTCAACCGTTCTATGAAATGGACATCACCCCTGCGGATGAAGAACACGAACAACCATTTTACAAGATGGACGTCACCAATGCCAAAGACACAGAGAAGCAAGGACAGCCCTTTTACGAGATGAAAGTCGCCTCAGCTGATGCGGTTCGACCGAAGGAGAAGCCACGTCCGCCCGCCGATGTCTCCTGCCGCCCGCCGGACACGCTGTACGTCAGACGGGTAGGACTGAGGTTCTGGTGCACCAAACGGATCCTCGACTGGCAGAGACAGGCGCTGCGTGCTCGGGAGGACCCGGAAGCGGTTTTGAAGCCTGTCAGAGAATATGGCGAGGAGTCTGTCTTGCAAAACAGTGAAAACGGCGAAATAGGATCGAAAGGAGATAACGAGAACGAGAAAGAAGGCCGACATTACGAGAACGAGAAAGAACACAGACATTACGAGAATGATAGAGAACACGGGCATTATGAGAACGAGAAAGAACACGGGCATTACGAGAATGATAGAGAACACGGACATTATGAGAACGATGAAGAACACAAATATTACCAGTACGATAAAAATCACGCTCATTACGAGAACGACAAGCATTACGAAAATGATAGAGAACACAGGCATTATGAGAACGATGAAGAACACAAATATTACCAGTACGATAAAAACCACGCACGCTACGAGAACGACGAGGAACATTCAAACTTGTCGACGCACGTTTATGCCGATTTGGACCCCGACTTTCTGGCAGCACAAGATGCGATCAAAGATGCCACAGCGCAACCATTTTATGAGATGGACATCACCCCTGCATGTGAAGAACAAGAACAACCCTTCTACAAGATGGACATCACCGATGCCAAAGACAAACAACAAGAACAGCCCTTTTACGAGATGAATGTCGCCCCAGCCGATGACAACAGTGAACAAGTCTTACTACAGGATGGACGCCGATCAACTGGGCCAGCCGACTCCGTCAGAGAACGCGTACGAAGATTTAGACCCCGACTTTCTCGCAGCACAAGACGCGGTGGACAGGAGGCACGGCGCCAAGGAACCGAGCAGGGGTGAGTAACATGTATAGCTTTCACGTTTGTGTACTTATACAATATTCACATTGAACAGTAAGAAAGAAATGCAGTTGTAAATATTAATCATTTAAACTTTAATAACTTCTATGATACCTAGGTTTATATATAGGAAATATAAAGTTTTATAGAATTGCATGTATGAGTTTGGGTGTCAAGTATAGAAGACTGATACACGGAAATTACACCTCAAAACTGCTGTATCTGCCTTTGGGATAGAAACCTGTTTGTTTGTTTGTTTGTTTGTTTGTTTGTTGTTCTTTAGGAGATGACAGCGACGACCAGAGGAGTAGTCAGAACTGCCGCCTGTTCTGCAGGTCACGTCCCGGGCGCATGGTGGCGCTTTGTGTCGGTCTCATCATATTTGCTGGTATTGCTGCAACTACAGTCGCCCTAATCCTCAACACACACGGTGTACTGAGTGTCCACCCTGACGAAGACAATGTGGTACGATACTTTCCCGAAATTATGCATTTGCATATCATGACGAGTTTTGTAATCATATGATGTGATAATTTTGTTTACATGTATGCAATTTAAATGTAGGAATTCTTGTTTATATTAATGTTTTACTATGGCATGGCATTAGAATTGCTTTTACGTCTGGTGTGTTTCTTATAACAGGTAAACCAGTCATCACTTCCAGTGACCATCTCAACATCGTCTGCACTTCTGACTGTGACGTCACAAGCTACTTCTGAGACAACAGAAGCCACAGGTAATTCTCGTGGATCAGTAGCCACAACTTTCTGGGCATAAAGTTCACCGGGACAACGTACCGATAGTCTTTTTTTTATTCCAACATGTAATCACCAGACGTGGTGACGACACACTCAAGTTTTTTCAACTTATATTAATGCCGACACCAACACAGAGGACAAATACATGACAGGACAATACTCATTTACACCTGAGCTAAGTGAGGAAAGTCGTGTAAAGTGCCTTTCCCAAGGGCACAAGATCAGTGGCATGTCAGGACTCGAACCCGGGACTCTTAGTTCCGAGTCGCGCACTCTGCCGCTACGCCACACGACCCCACTGATATTCTGTAGTTTTGGTATCTACTGTACAGCTGAACCTATTGTTCATTATTTCTTGCAGATTGGTGGAGAGACTGGACCCTCTATGTCAGAGCGTACTTCCAGCAGAACAGGGACACCGCCGCGGGTTTGGAAGAACGTTATCCCGACAATGAGGTTGTGAAGGTCCTACTGGAAGACAGGTTCTTCTGGCCTTTTGTGTGTCAGTACTGGAAAATTTACAATGATCTCCCACACACCCTGGACAGAGTTATAGGCTACGGCATAGAATACGGCATCACAAGTGACTATATGGAGTCACATGGTCTATCCGCATACAGCGAGTTCTTTTCTTCCATGTTGAACGCGTTGCAGGTACTAGAGAACAAGACGGAAGGACTTCTGAATACTAGTAATAGCAACACAATGCTGTCACTAAGTAGGCATGTATTTTTGGACACTGATGTTGAGGCCCTGGTAAACCTTTTCCCATACCTGGAAGGAATCACAGACTTCCATCTCATCAACTGCAGAATTTCTCCCGACGCAGCAACATTATTGGCTGGACAGCTACACTGGCTGCACAGGCTGACAAAGCTGAATCTGATGTATAACAAGATAGGAGATGAAGGGCTGGAAGCAATCGCAGAGACCTTTCCTCACTTGAAAGAGCTCCGACTTCTAAACATCGCCAGGAACTCAGTAACGCACGTGGGGGGACGGGCCATGGCCAGAAGCCTGGTGCACCTGCAGCAGCTACAGGAACTCTACATACAGGAAAACGAGCTGGCGCTCAGTGTCTCTGCGCTGGCAAAGGCGTTTGCCAACATGACGCGACTGGAACATGTCTTCATGTGGCCTGTTTCGTGCAGGTCCCTTCCCGAGGCGGCGGAACAGGTACGAGACGCTGTCCACACGCTCGCGGGGCAGGTGAAACTTCGCGGGGGAACTCCGTTGTATGACGGGTCTAGTAACACAGGCGGTACACAGCAGGGAGTGGACGCAGCATGGCGACGAGTTAAAGATAAACTAACATCAGGAGTAGTCATATCAAATAGGCAGCTGAAGGTAGAAATCAAGCTGTTGGTCCTAGGTGCTGGACGCTATCCACCCAGAGGCTAACATACTTGCATCTGTACATTTCGAGATAAGCAATCAGATACAACAGAGATGTTTACTGACATGGAGAAATAATTCTATTGAAACATATTACATGTGTGTTACATGTAGTATTCATTAATTACGGTAAATCACGATTTTTTTTGCAGTTTTCGCGGTCACTTCTGTACCACAAATTCATCATTACAGTGAACAAATTATTTGCCAACTTTCTTTTTGCTGCACCTGCTGCCACCACAAATGTCTAGTCCCGCCAACTTTTATGATTTTCTCAGACCACCAACTTTTGCTACCGTGAACATTAAGTGATTTACAGTACTTGAGGCCAAGGTTGTATACACGACCATATCCTCATATCAAATTATTAAATTATAATCCACACAAAATTAAATCAATTAAAATGTTGCACAGAAGGCCAATACGCAATTATGAGCCCTTATTGCAACTTCGTATAGTATCTACAAAAAAATGGCTTGCCCTTTTCTACTACGGGTAATTCTATGCGTGCAGAGGGCAACCCACATTTCTGGTTTGTGATATTATATCTGTATCCGTACGGTATAGCCATATATATGCATTGGATGACTTTAATCTTCCATATAATACCGGTAATTCAAAAATTGTGTTCAAAGCAGGTTTTCTCTTAACTTCCTTTAATGACACAAGATATGAAAATTGTTTACAGTTACAGACATGCATTTCAATGGTACATGTACTAGAATACTACATTTGCAAACAGTAATACAGTGATCTGAAATATAATGAAGACAAAAGTTACATCTGTTGGAGAATCTTATTCCGAATGGTCCTATGAACTATCTGAAGCATCTTTGTGAACCAGTAAGGCCACACCATGTAAATTTTATGGATGACGTCCGCGCGCGCATTGATTTTGGTCCGTTCCTAGAAAAAAAACAAGAAATTCCGCTTTCTCTAAGTATGATCAAAGAGTCATGACAGTGCCGCAAATCGTCAGATTGACGTGAAACCCGTAACGCGAAAACAGGGCAGGACGACAACTGCTATTCCACCTGATTTATTGCTGTTTTGATGATGAATAAAAGATTTCTTGCTTGTTACACTGTGTCACCTCATTCAATGTGTGTCCTAACGTTTGTCGTCTCTTAGTATATTTCTAATCTAGGTATCTTGTTTTTTAGGGCCCTTCTCCTTTTTTTTCGCCCTCTCGCATTAGATTTAGGGTCTCCAAAGGACGTCATCCATAAAATTTACTTGGTGTGGCCTAACACTGAAACGTCATCACCACAGCACACCCCGCGCTGCACTTCCACGGGAGCCGGTAGGGGGCGTCCGATAGCAGGAGTCCGTACTGTTGTTCATAGGCCCACAGCATGAAGGGGAAGATAGCGATACGCCAAAGGAAGAACGTTACCAGAATCAGAAAGCCATTGGCATAGTAAAGGCCAGTCTCCTTCATATTCAGCTGTAAGAGAAAAATCAGACAAGAAAATATAAAAGTTGTACCAAAGGCTCGAACTTTGTATAATTATGTTAGTGAAATAATTTCATCAATGCAATTCACGGTGCCTCAAATTATTATGTAAACAATCCTTCCACAAGTATCTGGATTTCAAGAATTGTAGAAAAATTTGGTTCAAAAGCTATATCCGTAACAAATTGCACTTCTCATCAAGGCTCAAACAAACAAACAAACAAACAAACAAACAAACAAACAAACAAACAAACAAACAAACAAACAAACCTGACTAAGTGCGTGTCTGAAGTTGGTGAGTGGAGTAGAAGCTTCATAAAGAAAGAAGCATCCAACATAGAAGTCTCCTTTCCCACCACGCAACAGCTAGAATGAGAAGAGACTTTAAATTGCATTCAAATCGCTTTGAAATCAAATGAAATATGTATTGAATGATTAGCCATTTCAGGTCGGCGTTTGATTTATATATACATATATGTATAATGCGTAAAAAATTTAGTGTTTTACTTTTATATCTATGTACATTAATCAAATAAAGCCAGAAGCGATTAGTGTCTTCATATGTTTGTGTTATTAATATTTGTGTTAATAGTAACATTGTCATCATAATACATTAATGGAAATTGATCGATATTTTCATTTTCATCATTATCATCCTTATCATTATTATATTACATTATAGTGTTTTTAGATATATAAAGTAACAATATTCGTGAATTTCGGACGAAACAAAAGTACCGAGGCTGGTAAGAAGATGGCGGGGATGATCACGTGATGAGCGACCATCGACCCACGATTGGTCAGTACCGTCGCCCATGGCAACCGTACCCCGGATGAGGCCAGCTGACAACTCGTGCTTTGGTACATGGCCCAGATGTCGTACCCAAAGTACGGTAGACAGAACCCAGAGTACCAGTCAGCTAGCCAGTGTCTGAGAGAAATCGATATTCAAGTACGTGTTACACTTTGGAAATATATGTAAAGTTACATGTATATCACAATCACAAGACGTGGTGACTGCACACTCAAGGTTATTCAACTTATTTTTATGCTGCCACCTGTACCGATTTTTACCTGAGTGGAGTGAGAAAAGACTGAATGTAAAAGTGCCTTTCCCAATGTCGGTGCACAAGATAGGTGTAGCAGACATGGCAGGGTTCGAACCCGGGACCTCTTGGTTCTCAGTCGAACATTCCACCGTTACGCCCCCACAAATCACAAATGGTGGGGTATATTGGAAATATTATCAGCAGATATTAGTGAGATATGTGACCAATCGTTTGTTCCGAGTATTAACAAATGTGATATAACTTCATAAGTACATACATATATGTATACGGTATCCACGTAATGATAGCACGTTGGTAGAAGGTGCTGCGCCTGCGCGAAACCCAGATTTTTCACAGTTTTTGTTGAATGTTTCGTCCACGTTGCATTAGAAGTTTGCTTATTATAGACGATATCTTTTCCGAACTAATATTTTAAAACGACACTTTAAGACCTTCAACAATACGTTCTGCCAAAGTGCTATGCACAATGAATTGCAAATTTCGCGCAGGCGCATTACGTTCTTCCGACGTGCCCACTTACCTGTCGTACATGACGTCATTGCAGTTGAAGACAATGGTAACACCTGCCCAGGTAGCCAGCACACCTTGGAGAGACGACACTGCGCTGTGTAAAAGACAAAAATTTACCTTAAATCCTCGTCACATACTCGTATTATTCACGAATTTGGCCTCCCGAACACTAGCCGAACGCACCCGACCATTGTTGGGAGTAGATCGGCTGGTGTTCGGGAAGGTCGGCTACTGTTCGGCTTTGTGAGCCGAATGTCTGAAAATGTTTGAAACAGTCGGGGGTTGGTCGGGGGTTCGGACATGGTTGCCTGCATTGTGGTAACTCAGCAGAACATCAGACAACTATTCGGGAGTAAGTCAGCAGCTTTCGGGGATGTTGTTCGGGAGTCAAATTTGGCTCAAATTTAAACTCAAATTCCTTTTGATTATATTGATAATAATAACCTTTATTGTAGATTCATGCCCTACCGGGCTAAGTACAGGTGAACAGATAAAATAGGTAATATACATGTTTGTAGTACAAACAGCTCTAAATCTACTCTAATATAGAAGTTCGGCTTCTTCTCGTTTCTTTGTGATGTTAAAAATATGATTTGAAATGGGTTTGTATGATACAGGATGATCAAAGCGCATAAGAAAGATAAATTTTTCAATATTAGGCAAGTATTGGAAGTATGGAAACGTACTTGTAATATATCTAAAAAGATCATTTCTTTCATTACTATATAAACTACAATCAATAACAAAGTGGGCTTCGTCTTCTACTTTGTTTGAGCTACAAAATTGGATATATATAAAGGCGTGGCCTAAATCTGGCCAGACTTCTCGACGTCAGTCGATTGTAGTCGGCTGATGGTAGGGGGCATGCTAGGTAGAGGAATATGGCTTTATTGAACGATTACGTCCAAGAAGGTTAAATTAAACCTCCTTGTTCCGTCACATGACGAGACAACGAAAATCGGTTCAAATTATTGTCAACGCCCTATAAAGAAAACAAGATAAAGAAAACAAATAACAAAACACAGGCGGTGTAAATTTCTGCCGACGTTACTGTTACAATCAAAACGCCGATAGTTTTAAGCCCCAAATTACATTTACAAATGTATAACCCAGTTAAATCCAGAAGAGAGAAAAAAATGTTTACGTCACCATTCCGTGAGTACCGCTTTCTCAGCCGCCGTCAGACGGGGCCAGGTACGCTCCAGACAGGACCGCACACAAACGTACGACATCGGGAAAAACACGCACCCCATCAAAACGGCAGTCAGAAGCGCCATGTTTTCTTCTGTCTGACTCTAACTTGGAGTCTAAGTGAGCATCACTGATGTACTTCCAAAGTACACATATGGATGGGTAAAGTCTATAATAATTGTGAAGATAAAATCCTACGTTGTTCACTTGCTATAATGACAACTTCGAAGCTACTGAAACAACTGAACAGTTTGTAGAAGTTGGCTATCCTACGTTTCTGAATCGAGGAGGACCGGTACTTGGTACTAATTTACCCCCAAAATTGTGCCTTTGTTACTCCGTGAAGGAGGTCAGGACCTCCGGACGGAGTGTTGTAATCGGCTGATTTTTCATGTTCGCAGTCAAAACACTGGGTTCTCTTTGTGTAATCGGCACGCAATTTTATACGCCGTCTGCGGGCATGCCCGTGTTGATGCACGAATGTGTATTTTTGCCGTTGCTGCTTTCGCGGTCAATGTAATATCGCAGACGCACCCCTACAATTACGAGGCGAATTGGAATGGTCCAGAAAAACGCGTTGTTTGGAATAGCAGTGGGGTTCAAAAAAGTTCATGCAGATACGGGGTGGTTTTTATAAGTGGTTCCAGATGTTTTTACCCATGGTTAAGAGATGCCAAGTTTTTTGGAAGATGTTCGCAGCCAAAACGCATTCTTCCGTACGTCGCATTTCTGTGTAATTTCGCATGTGGTGTTGCATTATGTCCGGGATGATGCACGTCTTTTTATTTTTACCGTAGCTGTTTTGATATTGGAGTAAATGCTTATTTTCGAAACATCCCCATTTCTTTGAAATGGTTTCGTCCGTTTATGCAACTGTTACTGCGCTAATGACGACCAGTCGCGCTGTCCTGATACACCGCGAATGTGCGAGTGTTCCCTGTAGACAGTCCCGGGAGTCATTTTTTTGCACATTCCAGGAGCCAAACCAAAATACGTTCATGAACCGAGTCCAAAAAACCGAAACGTGAAAATCGGATGATCGGAATGTACATTTCTCTTTCTATAGATTGTACACACAATACACACATCTTTAGATAATCTGGCCATGGCAGGTTAAAAAAAAAGTAACCCTGAATCATACTAGATTAGACGTAAATGCATGTTAATGCGTTACAAAACAAGAAAAAAATTGTTTCCGGGTATTAATCTCTTGAATCACGGCGCTGAATATTGACGCAAAAATATTTCGGGCATCGCGCGCCCTTCCCGCGTCACGTGTAGGCATCTCGCATCTCTGATTGGTTGTTGCGTCTTAAGATGACTGAGCCGACGCGCGTTTAAACAATTTTTCTTTGTTCGATTTATCACACTTCACAGAGAATTGTCGCCAATGGCTACTTCTTTTTGTTGCAATATATAATACTTCACGGAGAATTGTCGCCTATGGCTTCTTGTTTTATTTCAAACAAGTTTCTTGGTGGATATCGATCTTAAATTAAGCTTTTCATGTTATAATTTTCTGTAACATATACATCACAACATATATGTGTATGGACGTTGAACATTATTCTTTGCAATGGTATGGTCTGCTACTAGTAGATACGAGTTGTGTACTTTGGTTTGTGCATGGTCACTTCATCTCAAAACCTGCTTGTACAAACACCATTAGTTTCTCCACTACTAGCTAGTTCTGTTGAGCTTAATTTTCCAAACCAACAAAGACCTGTGGTTTAGTTTGTAGCACTAGAAAGTGCAATCGGTGGAGCGCCGTCCACTTCAGCACAACTCAATGTCAACTCAAGCGTTCTGAGCACATGGAATTGTGATTGTTGCCAGATCATTGAATTAATGGAAGAAGGTACTCGTACAAGATACTAGTACTTTTCGCATAGAGCTAAGTGTGATTATAGATTCATGTGTAATGATAAATGGGAACAAAAACACACACATACATTTATGTACATTGAATATATCATTGTGTGTTTGTTTGTTCCCATTTATCCCAGGTTATTAATAGCAACAAAAAAAATCAATGGGCCAAAACTAGACCCAAATTTCACATATCGGTACCACCTGGGGTGGCAAATTCTCATTATGATATTTGTGGAAAAGTAGGGTGTCTGTGGAATATATTTTGATATGATAGCCGTCGCAGTGTGGTAGCTTTGACCTTGCTATCTGACCTTGAACTTTGACCACATATGGACCACGCCCTTGTCGGACTTTTTTTATACACACCAAGGCTTATTCCTACCTTACCTATAGGTTTTGGTGTCTATCAGACATAAGTCAAGTACCCCAAGTCAAGTCTTAGCCTCTACCAGGCTTCGGGATGCCCGGAAAGAGTAGAAATCGGCCAAATAGAAAGATAGCATGCCGATGAAGTTGGTCTGTTGGAGAGAACAGTTTGCCGCTCCTGAATTAATGTGTTCTCTCTATTTGGCATGCTATCTCTCTATTTGGCCGATTTCTACTCTTTCCAGCCGCCTCCAGAAGCCTGGTAGAGGCTATTCGAGTCTATCAGAAGTCTATCAGGCACCTTCTCAGAGCTTCTGACTGGATAAATGTTCTACTTCTCGCCGCTATACTAGTATATGTAGCCAGTGTAGGTGGCGCTTTTTTGGCGAGAACACAATCCCAAACGTCATATCACTAGCGGTGAGAAGCAGTACTCCAGTCAAAAGCTCTGGGGAAGGTATTATAAAGCAAGCCAGGAAGAAGCCCTGGTTGTGTATAAAAAAATCCCAATATCCTGTGTTCTACCAACCTGATGAAATTATTTTCGGAAAATGTCCTCATGCTTTTTTTTTATAGACAGTCAAGTAATACGATACGTTTTACATCTACATGTACAGGAGGTGTAATGTAAATGTTGGGTAACTTTTGTATCTACTGCAGAGAATCTTCAACTAAGTTTTTGTTTGTTTTGGTGCTGCCTTTAAAATAATGGGATCAACAAAGCGTAGACAATTTTTGCAGGACCAACGTTCCCTACTTTCAAGTATGATCCCGGGTTCGAATCCTGCCCGGTGTCACCGATCTTGTGCCCTTGGGAATGACTTTCCTCACTTCACTCAGGTGTCAATGAGTACCTAGCTTCGGCTAGGAACGTCCCTCGGATAGGACGAATGGAGGTCCCGTGTTTGGGAGAGTAACACCCCACGCACGTTAAAGAACCCACCACACTTATCCAAAAGAGTAGGGGACCTTCCCATGAGTGGTTCAAACCTTACAGTCTGGTCTCAGGTTTGACATCTTGAAGAGGCGATAGTCACCTGTTATGTCAATCCTTCCACAAATGTGGTAAATCTTCATACAATTAGATAGAATAAAAAAAATACATCCTATGGTTATCATTCATACAAATCAATTCATGAGACCATTTCATAAAATCTTGACACCACCTGGTTTTATTCCCAAACTAACGAACTACATAATCCATACATCGAACTTTTTGCACTCCATGATCAAAAATTCTTTTTACCTGAATAAAAACATTAAAAACACACTTAACAAAATGTTTGCTACTTTTTCCTGGGTAAATGAACTTGTACAAATATAGCCTGGGTGCCATCCGATTTGTAACAGCTGCCCCGAAAAAGGTAGCCGTTACAAATCGGATGGCACCCAGGCTAATACAAGTATTCTTGTGTAATTCATTTACTTACAAAAATAAAAAAGTTGAAGGAGGGTTGCACAAGTTTTCAAAAATCCACTTGCCCTATTGGGCAAGTACATGGTCATTTCTACTTGCCCGAACCAACTTTTCACTTGCCCAATGCAAAATATAAGTGACGTACATTTTTACCGCAAGGAAATTTTTTCAGTAAAAAAAGCATGCTATATTGCTCTATGCCTGACCAGCATTTCCCAAAGTAAGGAGGTTTGAGACTTGCAAATGGTTCTCTGACAAAAAAAATCATATTATGTGAATACACTACGCGAAAATGATGAGAGATTTTGCTCCAAACACTGGGGCATAATGCCACATCCCAAAAATGTACTTGCCCAATCGGGCAAGTACAGAGGGATATTCACTTGCCCGAATAGTGCTTTTACTTGCCCTGGGCAAGTGGGCAATGGGACTTGTCCAACCCTGAAGGTGCAGCAAACACAAGCGAAACACTACAAAACTTGGGTTAATAACATGAAAGCAAACGTTACATAAAACAAAAGAACCCAATTGTCCAATGGGACAAAATCAAATCATCTTCATCACATAGTTCTTATCAGAACTGTTATGATCCTTTGGCTAGATGATTAGATGTAATATTAATACCAAGTCATTTTTGGAGGTTTTAGTTCATGATTTCATTTCCAATACAAGAGAAAAACTTACAAGTTTCTTAACGAATGATTTAGATATATACTAGTTTGACATGATTCACTTTTTTTTCCTTGACTACTTATCTATATTGTTATATATAGTCCAGACACATTGAATGCAATATTTCCCACATAATAAGCATCTCTAAATAAAATACGTCCTAAATAGGGTGAACACCAACTACTGACATGCACCTGCAAGATAACAGAAAATAGCACGCAATTCGTGTGCAAGATGACAGAACATAGCACGCAATTCGTGTTAGTTATACTAGTATTCTCTGATATCTACATTCTCGGTGGACATTTACATGTACATGATGAAAGCCAGTGCATATACCTACAAAAGCAAACACTTCTATCAGTCTCCTTAATATTGTATACTAACAACTCACACAACACACTTGCACGTTAAGAATTATCAGTTCAAAATTGTCTACATGATTTCTAAGGCATCTTACTCTAACTCTAAAGGTCATCTGCTGATGACAAACTACTTATAGTGACACCCCTTCTTCATTTTACACAACCATATGCCTAATATCAGACTAAGAGACCAAGTGTTAAGCTGACAATTTTAGACTAGTTTTTTGTACCTCACCCCTATCGTTTTGTTCTATACAGGCTGTAAATTACATAGTGAGCATGTTTTTCTTTCTTTTTGAAGATACTGTTTAACTAGTTTCTGTACCCCATCCATAGTTCTTTTTTTTTCTTTGTAGTATCTATACACATGCTACAGACAACATGTGCTAAATGTTGGGCTAGCATTGGCCAATAGGAGACCATGAGGGCCTGCATGCCTTTTTTGTAGGGCGTAATCAGGCCTTTGAAGTATTTGTAGGCAGTCACCCCAAATCAACATAATTCATAATCAGTACATTAGCCATAATCCATAATTGGTCATTTTCATTCTAGGCAAAGCGTACGCAGTTACCTTTGTGCAACGTATAACATAATCCATACTCCATGGTTTACTAGTAACGTAATTTGCATTCAGCTCTAAGAATTTAATGTAATTCATAATTGTCAGGGAAAATTTTGCATAATTTGTAACCACTAACCCTCCATGCAGGCCCTCGACAGTATCATACTAGTTCCAGTACCCCCCTCCCCCCTTCCCCTAAGGTTTGTCCTAAACACGTGCAGGTACAGAAGAGAGAGTATATGTTGAACATGTGTTGATCGTTGGGCTAGCAAGTTTTGGCCAAAGAGGAGGCAGTATCAAACTAGTTCCAGTACCCCCTCCCCTAAGGTTTGTCCTAAACACGTGCAGATACAGAAGAGAGAGTACGTGTTGAACATGTGACGAGTGTTTGACTAGTAGGCCACGGCCAGCCTCTGCCTTCTGGCTTCCTCATCCTCCGGCTTCCGTATCACCTTCTGGTAGACGACGTACGCGGCGATGAAGGCGATGACGACGATGATGCACCAGATCACGACACCGAAGAAGGGACCGCCGTAGCCGCGCGCAAAGATCACCTGGAAAACCGTCCTGTCCTTCCCCTTGGGTTGTGCAGGGGGCGCCGCTGAGGTTGCTATATGACACAAGAAGTTTTTTTGTCAGATGAAAGATTTAAAACATTGTTACATTGTTACTGAACAAAAAGAATTTGTTCAGTAATAGCCAATGTACCTTGACAGGGCTCGAACTCCCCACGCATTTGCATTTGATTTTAAAGATTTGCATGTAAAAATATTCTGTACATGCAATTTTGCATGTTGAACATACATATAAATGAGTGTCAGACCATAGAATAATGGCGCTGCTATGTTGCTATCACAGTGCTGATATCAAACTCAATTTGTAGGGTGTTTACTATTTTCCCTGATGATTTCTCTCAAGTCTATTGATATTCGTCAGATTTGCAAGCTAGCACGTACCTCATTTCTTCTGGGTGCACCCAGTAGTACTACTAGTATGTAAAAATTTTCCTCTATGATAAGAATACGGTGTTGGGGATTTTCTTATGTATCTTCAATGTATATCTAGAAAAGGCGGGTATGAAGGATGAATTCACTTCAATTTTGCATGTAGATTTTTAAAATTGCATGTAGATTTTCTGCCTGAGTAACTTTGTACATGTTTTGTTGTGACCTGTATTCTATAATAGCTCAATGTGGCAAAAATGTGAAATAAAGGTCTTCATTTCAATTCTAAATAATTACAAAAAAGTATACGTAATTTTGATTAACAGGTAAAAGAGAATTATACAATTTAATCTTATTGATGCTAAAAACAAAATGATAGTACTAGTATGTAATCATTATGCCTTGAAAAGTGTGACAAGCTGAATAAAAGTTCTAAACGGGAACTATGCGGCTCCAGCTGTCTTACTGAGGGATGACTGTGTGTGCGAGATGTAGGTTAGCCAGTGGTCGAAATACTTTTTTTCAGTGCTCTGCAATATTGCAGAAGAGTCAAAATTTCGTCCTGCAATTTGGAAATACTTTCTGCAAATACACAAGCCCCCATATTACAACCTTCTGAAACCAATAATGCCTATTTTTACATCATATATATATAACGGTATAGCTTTGTAAATCTGTAGCATTACTGAAATTCTTCAAAATATCACTCTTTTAAATATGTTCGGACCGTAAAATTTTATCGGTCCGGTCCAAAAAAACCGAAACGTCGGTGGACCGGTTTTTTTGACCTGAACAAAAATCCATATTTGTTGTTACTGAATAACTGATGATCACTACATACAAAGAAGCCTGCCAGGAAAATGAAAATCCAGCCTTCAAATAAAAGAAGTTTACCTTAGTCTCCGTCTCTCTCATTTTGCAACAATATTTTCCCGTATTTTGGTACCGATAGTCATCTAGAAATCATAAAGGACAAGTCTACGGGCCGTGCTTGGTTCGGATCGAGCCGAAAATCACTGATTTTACACCATATAGTCACAATGTGATGCACGTAAATTTTCACTCGAAATGAGAAATTACCGCCCAACAAAACGGACCATTAGGTTCCCAGTGCTGTATTTCTCTTTTGTTCATGTGATCAAATTGTTTTCTTTGCTTGAATCGTGCAAAATACCAAGGAAAAACATCGAAATTTCGGCAAATTAACGCCGAGGCGAGTATGGTTTTTCGGAGGAGCCATGTTTCCTTTGCCGTGTTGCCTGCTAGGAAATGCTCAGCGAAAACTGCCGAAAATTGCCGAGGCAGTTGTCGGGTCCTCCCGGGAGACGAAATCTAACATCGGAAAATGGCGAGTGCCCAGATTTGGTTTTCGTCGCCTTTCGTCGCCTTGTCGAAATCGTTCAACTTTGACCCCAAATTCCCTTATATGGGACCATTACAGTCTGCTGGAAAACGCCGAAGGTTCGTGCGGCGCAGGTTTTCGATCTATTCACAGCACCACTGCTTTGCTAATTGAAAACTATTGAATCCGGAGCCTATTTTTTCCTTCTGCAAAATTGCAGATTGTAAGATTTTTTTCTTCTGCAATCTTGAAAATCTATCTGCAAATTGCAGACGGGTATTTCGAACACTGTTAGCTTGAGGTATGAATACCCTTTACTATATACTATCAGGGCTGGAAATACTGGGTGCATGTGCACCTTAGTGCACCCAAAATTGGAGCTGTGCACACAATTTTTTTCTGTGGGTGCACTGGTGCAGCAGCACCCAAATATTTTTGTAGGTTTACACATGTAAAGATGTTAAATGTATAGTAGTTACAGCATATTCTTAAAGCAACAGTTACAGCAACATCTACATGTAAGTGTCAGAAAAAATAATACAATTGTTATAGTACTTTTCTTGAAATGAAACATAATCATAATTTTTGCTGACATTCTACTTATTTTGGCTTATGATTATATATGGTGCACCTAAAATATTTTTTGTGCACCCATTTTTAGGTTGGGTGCGCCAGTGCAGCTATTCCCAAAAATGAATTTTAAGCCCTGTACTATACATTGTGCCTTGAAAAAATATATAAAGAGAAAAGTTGTTTACCTGCACTGTTGGTGACAGCTTGTCGTCGAACACGCTCAGCTTCTAACTCATCCTGAAACATGGAAATGTTGGGTTATAATATTGAAATATAATATTTTCACTCCATTTTAGAGCTAAATCAGTACTACATGCTATAGCCTGGTTTAGTAGTCATCTTGTAAGTTTAGGCCATGTTGGTTTCATCATATAGACCCTGGAGGTAGATTTTTCTACCTCCATGTATAGACTGAGCGTGCGAATAAAAAAGTTTGGCAAAAAGGTTGCCTAAATCTGTGTGGTCATGAAGGTTGAACAAATGACTAAACACACAGAGTATGTTATGATGAATAATAGACTTCATTTTCATTTCTTTACATTTTCTCCTTTTTCTTTGGAATTGATTTTGGTATATATTACTAGGACATAAGTATCGTTTTCCAATAGATATTTTTTTCTTTGCAATTTGAGGCATATATCTGTTCATTTTGCAGCTGCTTTAATTGTACGATTCACAGTATGGTCGAAATATTTTTTTTTTTGAAACGGACAAAAATTCATACGCCATCCCCATAATCAATTCAACATGGCCTTACTGCGTGCGATACTATTATTAGAAGCAATTAGCATTAGACAGTCCAATGAAAAATGGTGCTTGGGAAAAACGATTGGTAAAAAGCCAAAGAACATTATTTCAAAATAATTTCTCGTATGTTCGTGCCAAAATACTGACCCGGAAGAAGTTACTCCAAGCGATAATCGCATTCCCAAAGAGGTCAGACCGATTGAAAATCACGCATGCATGAAATCGTGTTCAGGAGCCGGGCCGGGGGGCGCGGCAAGGGCATCCTGTGCGCTAACATCGCCATGCTTTTAGTCGGTTTTAGAACGCGTTGCTTAAGCACAGCTTTCAGATTTTACCCTTACTAAAACATAGAGTGGCGCACTAGCAGCAAAACATGGTAAAACTCAAGAGTCTATACCCCAACGGGTGTCATATTTCACGGCTGTATTGTTTCAGGACAAATCGCTAAGACAACTAAAAGGGGATTTATAGCTGAGCACGTATAAACAGGGAACGGCCAAACAGCGAATAAAACGACGTTAAAACAGACGGGAAATCCAGGACATCCGGCAAAAAATGTGTCAAACAAAAATGACATCCGGCGTGCAGTGAGAAAGCAAAACTGATACTGTGATAGAAAGGCGGCACCACGCCTGGGTGTGTATGGATGGTCCCCAAAGCGGCCATGTCGAGTTACCTGATTACTGAGGTCCACACTTCGCCCTTCACAGCCGGCAAACAGCGCTACAAGAAAAAGAGAAAATACACTTAGTTTGAGGTAGAACTACACATTTTCTAATTGATGTCGTGTTTTTAATACTGGAAGACGACAACGCATGGATTTCTGGTGTAAAATTGATGGTGGGAGGTTGACAGAAATTATAGCAGAACAAGGAAAGGACAGTGTAGTCGGGCCAGTTCTGGTCGCAAATTTGAGTCGCAGCTACATTTTCAACACCATACAGACAAACTAGACCCATCTATGGCGGTAAAAGTGTGCAAAAGTGAAGAAAATAGTTGGAAATCGGCTTACCTAGCACCAAGACGGCGAAAAACAGGGTGAAAACGCGAAAATACATGGACGCCGCCATTGCTCCTAGCTCGCCTATTGATGACGCTTCTCCCTAGGGACTTCTCATGTGTCTAAACAAACAGCCTCTGGTTGGCGGAGAGAGGTCACGTGGGGCAGCCTTAAGACTGTTTGACCTTTCGTGCCCTTGACTGGAGCATTTATGATATTTTAAACCTCTTGACATGAAACACACAACGGATAAAGAAAAAAAATTCTATTCTAATCATTTCGTACCACTTGATGTGATGGTCGCTTTATCATACTTTTAAATGAATGAATGAAAGACCAAATCAATATCATAAAAACGATGACTTGAGCGACGATAGGCGTATAAAATAAGTAGTTATGTGGTCCATACAAAATATGATATAATATGAAAAGTTGTTTTGGAAATTATGCCGTCGAAGAAGCTATTGGAACCGTCCATAGCCCTGATAATTATGTAGCAAATGAAACTCCCCCTTCCCTGCGTCAGCAAAATATGACGTCACACATAGAAGTTCCCCAGTGCTGAGTGGCAAAACATTACGTCACTCAGTTACGCCCTATCCACGTGGAAGCGAATCAAAACCCAAATCATCCTTTTCGGCCCTATCTATGTAAATTACTTTCTTGACTTAAGACGAACTCCGAGACCGCGTGGTCAGTCGAGAGAACCGAGAGGAATCCCGAGGTCGACCACTGCGGTCCGGAGCCGAGCTACTTCCACGTGGGCGGCGTGCCAGCCATCTTCATATACTTTGTAACTCTGTAAATGTAGTTAAGTCTAAAAGTTCTCAGTTGCCATCCCGGTAACGATCAGTATCGCGGCAAGCAACTGTTGCCGGTAAGTAAGTGCTTAAATTGTATTCCCCCTTTACCTTTCTGGACCAATCGCTAAATTGTCCCCTCCTGGCTGAAATTGTGTATCTCCCCTATTAAGTGGTATCTGGTATGACTTTGTATTATGCTATATGTGTCGTGTGCGACTGGAACGAATAAAGTAGACTAAAGCGAGTCCATCGTTCTCCGGTGCCTTTCCGTTGGTGAAGTTACTATAGCATAAGCCCAAATCTAGACCCGCTAGACCTACATGTGACAAATGGTTCCCACACCGGAACTCGCTTTTTAGTTCTGCTGTATTGGTTCGAGTCGCCACGATATTCTGTAGGCTTTTCTATGGGTAAAATTTCTCCTGTACATTGATTTCTCTCGCCGCCGCCCGCGGGAACTTGCCGAGCTCTTGACTGCCCTGACCCAGTGTTCCCCTTCGCCCTCGACCCGACCCCCACCCTCCCCGACTTTATTTCTTGAACGCTAGTTTTATGTTTTTGAAAGCTAGTTTCATGTGCCCGTCTGACTGAGAGATCGTGCGGTCCACTTCCCTTTCCGCCTGTGTAGTTTGTCAAACGAAAACTTGACCTATGTTCGCGTTTCGTCTCGAGTAAAAGTTGTGTGCCTGTTCGGGAAGTAACGTTCCCGGCATCGTCCTTATATTATTTCTTTTCGCATTGTCCATATCGATGAAAAACTCTGAAAGTTCTTCGTTGTAATACGGTTCCCAGTTGTGACCAGGTGGTCAAAGTACGCGGTTCAGATCGCCCCCTTGTCCGCAAGTAACTGTCTAAAAGTTCTTATCTTATTTCTGTCCGTCGCGTTCCGTGCATGAAAGTTTGTTCATTACTTCCCTAAAGTTCGCGGTTCGTATTGATTATAATTTGTTCGTCTTTCCGGGGAGCCCCTCTTTTTGAGTTGCCCTTTTATAATTGTTTATAGCCGTTATCGTTCTTTGAGAAGTTGTTGCGTTCGATACTGTTCCCCCTTCAGTGGTAACTCTCTCGCCTGTCTAGTGATAAACGTACGCGCCGTTCGTATTTAGAATCATTTGTTGGCCTGTCCGGGGAGCGCCCCTTAAAGTGGTTCTTTCCGTAGCGTCCCGTGCAAAGTTGTTTCGCTTGATTTTGTGATTCCGTATGAGTGGTATTTTTCTCGCTCGGTCGTCAACATCCCCAATAAACTTTTCGTATTTGGCTGTCCGACAAGTCCCTTTCTCGGCCTTGTCATTAATTCTTTTTGTTCTGCCCGTCGCCTCTCGCGAAACGAAATTCGTTTGGAGCTTTCCGCGTGATTTGGCTTGAGTTTCTTGCAGTTTCCAAATTTGCTTCGTATAGCTTTTCCGGCGCCGTGACGCCTGGCCCCACTTAATTTGTTCCCACGTTGTCGCGCCGACTTCCATCTGTTGCTCATCTCTCTGACCATTATCCTCGCTGCCCCCTGCTTGTGTTTGTCACAATCGTATTCTTTCTTGTCCATGCCGCACTTCCTTATCTGATTGGTTTCATGTCTTCTTAACGAGCTTGGCTGTAGGTGGTGTCATCTGCCCTCCATCCTCTGCTGTACCTCCTGCCCCCTCGTGTGCTTAGTTTGTTTTTCTTACCCTCTCCCCATCTGTTTTCCATCCGCCCTGCTTTGTCAGCACCGCTGTCCTCTTCCCCGAAATCGCTCCGTGTCATCTTCCCTCTGATTTATTGCCACTTCACTCCTTTGTCTCTTCCGCTACCATCGGTTGCGTCATCTGATAACACCCAGTCCATCTGTGTCTCATTCTCCGCTTATCCACACCAGCATCTGATCTACTCTACTCACTTCTCCCTTCTTGACTGTCTCTTGTGTGTTCCGCCCCGCCCTCTTTCCACTCTTACAATGTCGGACACTAGCGACACGGACACGATCCCTGACGATGAGGTTGTTGTGTTCAATCCCCAGGGTGGCAACTTAAACCCTTTTCACGCTTCCCCTGCGGGACCCAACCCCTTCGCTCCTAACCCTGCCGCGGCCCAGGCCTTTATTAATCCGTTTGCTCAGGCTCCAGTCTACGCGTTCAATCCCTGGTTCAATCCTTACGCTCAGGCGTATCCCCAGTTTGCCCCAGGACCCGCTTTTGCCGGACAGGTTCCGAACCCTCCCGCGCAAGGTGCTGCAGCCCCTCCCCAGGCACCCAATCCCTTTGCGGCCGGCGCTGCCAATCCCTTTGCTGCTGGCGGCCAGGCTCACCATCAGGCCGCCCCTCCCAACCCTTTTGCGGCTGGTGCTCCCCGGGTCCCCCCGGCCAACGGGCACGCTGCGCGTCCCCAGAATCCCTCAAACCCCCCTAGACTGATGTGTAGGTTCACGGGCACGTCATCGGTGACGTGGGAGGAATTCGAAACACACTTTTCTAATGACAGGGAGTTTGGCCAGTGGTCTGATGCTTTAAGTAAGGCAACCTTATTACGCCACCTTTCTGGCGACGCCCTGTCCACCTATGCGTCGGCAGATTATTTCATAAAGAATGGCACGTGCGATGACGTGCTGGACTTCTTACGTTCCATTTTTCAGAGGCCCAGCGACCCCTCCCACTATGAAGCGGAGCTAAATTCCCTTCAGCAGAAGCCTAATGAGTCGGCCCAGGCCTTTGAGGTGCGTGTACGCAGTCTTGTGGCTAAAGCTCATCCCCTCGTCCCCAGTGTAGCCAGGGACTCTTTGGCCAAGAGATTATTCCTTGATCGGCTGCATGACACTACCATCGCGCTGGAGGTCAAAAAGTTCCAACCAGCCACCCTACATGCTGCTCGGACACAGGTCCAGCTTTTTGCAGACCTTAACCGCCCCTCAAAGCCCGTGCGACCCTCCCCCTCTAACATCACTACCAGTACTCCTCCTGCCTCCTCCGACGTCCCCAATCCCGCCCTTGAGCGTATCCTGGCCGACCATCGCGCCGATATGGCCCGCCTGCAGCGCGACCACGAAAAACAAGTGGCCGACATGTGCCAACAAGTCAACTCACTCCTCTCCTCTAGGCCCCCGCCGCCTATCACCGCGTCTCCCTCGCCCCAGGCGTCGGGGCCTCCCCCCTCCCTTGGACCTTCGACCACCTCCCTGCCGCCCCGCCGGCCGCCCGCTGGCACTCGTTGCCACGTGTGCAACGCCACCGACCACTGGAAGGACTCGTGCCCTTACCGTCCGCCCCGACCCAACCAGGGAAACGGGGGTCGGCTGGCTTAGTGGGGGGCCAGCCAAATTCGACGCCTCCCCAACCTCCACCCCCTAACTCTCCCTCTACCCCCTCCCCTACCCCTCGTAAACCCTCCGGTAGTTTCCATTTCAATGCCAAAATTTACAACCATTCCTTAGATATTTTAATTGATTCTGGCGCAGACGTTTCAGTGATCTCGGAAACTTTGCTTTCTAGTCTCTCTCCCCCCACTGCCGCGCCGGCCGTTGAAACGTATGCAGGCCCGTCTCTTTCCTCGGTGGCGGGCGGCCCTCTCGATGTTCTTGGCTATGTCCAACTTCCCATCTCGTGGAGTTCCTTTGAGTTTCCCGCCAAATTTTTGGTTTGTAGAAATTCTACCACCCCTCTTCTTGTTGGCACTGATTTCCTATTGGAATACCAAGCTGATTTGTCCTTGCGCACGCGCACCCTGACCCTCTCCTTACCTGGGGGTGTGGCTACCATTCCAGTCTTTCGTAAGGCCAGCTGTGGTGTTCGCCGTGTCGTCACCCGCCATGATATCGTTATTCCGGGTCGGTCCACCGAACTTCTCCCAGGGAAAGTGGTGGGGAAGGTTTCAGTGGCGCCTCGTGGTCCGGGATTCATTGAACCCGCCTTAACCTCTTTGAATCGCCTGGGCCTCTCGGGTGAACTAATTACCCACACTCCCACTAAAACCTCCACGCGCGCGTTTGTTGTTAATGAACAGTTTGAGCCAGTGCTTATCCCGGCAGGCACCACACTAGGTCTGTACCACCCATTTGATACAAATACCGCTTCTGCCTCTGGCGTGTCTGTCTCCCCTTATACGCCCTACCCTTCCTGCGATGTCGGACCGTCCGAATACCCCACACCTGACGTAGTACCCCCGCGAAGATCTGCCCCCTACCCTGAAGTACCGGTTCCTACCCCTGACGAGAAAGACCTTCGTACGGAGATGGATACCCTATTCGACTTGTCATACATTGAAGACCCTGTTCGTAAAGAGAAACTTTTAGACCTCCTGGTTGAGTTTCAAGATATTGTGTCCCGCTCTTCTCATGACGTGACAACTACGTCACGCATTACGCATTCAA